GGTCCGGGCAGCGCCACGCCGGGACCCCGCGGGACCCCGCTCCTCCGCGGTCTGCTGCCCAGGGGACGGGAGGGCTCAGCCCCTGCGTGAGGCGACTGCGAACGTCGGATAAGGGCTCGGGTTAACACCTTCCCATTCTCTTATTTATGTATGGGAAGCCACAGGTATCTTCCCCCTGTATTTAGGAAACATTTAATTTGGATTAAATCCTGCTACGTAACTTTGTTGTTGTTTATGGGTATGATTTTTGTCATAACTTGGGTTTTTAGGTGCAAGAAGAACTTCGCAAGCGTAAAGTTAAGATGAAAAATACCGACTTGAAAGGAAATGTAGAAGCTGTGGATATCTGTGACCTCGAAACAGCGACTGAAAGAACTGAACTTGGGCTGAGAGTAAGTAAAATAGAGCACATCCAGAAAATGATTCAGGTTTTGAGATCTGTCAGTAATTCACCTGGAGTACACGGGGCCGTGCATTTGTCATCCTGCAAGATCCCTTTCTGCTGAGCAAATGATGGGATTCATCAGACACTACACTTCAGAAGGATGACTTCCTTTTGTTTGGGTCATCAGAATTAACTGATCTTGTGCCCATCAGCCAAAATCAGACTTAGTCCAACAGAAGCACAAAGCTTATCATCTTTTCAGTGAAGTACACGTCTGGATTGCAAAATTAACTGAGTTAAGTAAATTTAATATCCCTCATACCTGTGTAATACTCTAAACATTAATTTTTTCCTTTAACAGAAATATGCTGAAAATCATTTAAATTCTATAAACAGACAAGTGTTAACTATTTCTTCTGCTGGTAACGAAGAAGCACATTCAAAAGGCCCCCCTAAATGGTAAGTGAAATGGCTGTTTTATTGCAGAGACAAATGCAAGCAGCAAGACAGAAAAACTGGGGTTTCAGAATCCTGTAAAGCAAATGGGAGTACTGGCCCAGTACATGAAGTTATTCTGGTCACTCGTTATTTTGGTTTTAAGTTAAAAAACAATACAGAAGTAAATGTACTTCTAAGTAGCTACAGCAACCTTCTGTTAAGTTCTGTGATTTTTCTTTTCTTAAACACCAATTTAAATAAAAATATAGTCTCTTGGCTTCAACCAAATGGCAGCAGTATGGGTTTAATAGGTAAAATCAAAGAAATTTTTAAAACCTCACTGTTCTTTCTTTCTAAATCAGGGGCCTTCATCTTGGTGCTTCTCAGAAACAGCTCATTGTGCCACGAGTGCCTGTTGGGCCCATGACTGTGCAGGTGTACAGCAAATCAGCACTACGCATGTCTCCAGGGTCACAGGTCAGAAATAACATAGCACTTGTTCCGTCAGAGACCACATGCAATGAGCAGACTCGTGTCGTGTACGTTACCATAATGTTACATTCTGCCTCCTCATGGATTCAGGTTTTGGTAATATATGACTGAAAGTGTTAAAAGATTCTCAGTAGAATGAGCCGGCTGAGAGATAGGAGCCTTCTCCCAGCCTCGCAGTTGGGATAAAATCTAAGTTAGGAAGGACTTCAGTATCATCCTGGGTGGATCCACGAGCCCTCTGTTCTTTATTTCCGCCCTCCCAAGTATATTGTTAGAGTATGAAACCCAGTGTTTGTTCTGCTTTAAGGTCGCAGTCCTGCAAATACCATATCCTTAATTGGGATTCTGCAAGTCACGTGTTTAAATTAAATGGAACTGTATGTTGGAATAGAATGAGCACAGATATCAGTGTCTGTCGTGTCTGAGACTAAAAGTGGTTCTCTGCCTTGCTTTTGCATAAAAGATATGGCACATTGTGAGAAAGACTTCTGTTCATGTCTGAGGTAGTCACCTTTATAATAAATAAATAGTTTTCCATTTGCAGACAGTATTTCCAGGTAAATAGGCTTAAAGATATCAATGTTTCAGCTCATACGGGTTCTGAGAGAAATTAATAATTTACATAGTAATATTGTAATATTACCATAGGATGCTGTGCAAGAGTAGAAATGGAGCATAAGTTGTGCTTATAGTAGTTAGGATAAAAAAAGGATGGAGTCAAGTAAGCACAGATGCTATTTTCACATATGCATTGCTAGAAGACTTGTCATATGGGAAATAGCTTGCCCACAGGTGTCAGAATAGGCTTAAAATTATTTACTCACACAGTATTTGTGAATCATAGCAGCAGCCAGATAAGACTCCGCAAATCCAGCTCACGGGGGGAATTGTGAAGCACTTTCCCCTTCTCTCTTAACTGTATTTTGTAACTGGATTTCTTCTAATAAAGCCTGAGAACCATATAGATGTTTCTTCCTTGTGCAGTAATTGTAAAACCTCTGTATAGCGATGGCTGAAAAGACATCGTTACCCTTAACTGGTAAGTGTAGAAGTTCAGTTCTTGGTTTAGCTTTTTAAATATGCTTAACTGAAACCAGCTGAGCTGATGCTTGTGCAGCTTTGGGGTTTGGGTTGGGTTGTGGTTTTCCTTAAAGTTAATACTTTCTGTGATGTTCTAAATACCTAAGAGAAGTTTACATTCTCTCATCATTGATAGGATTAAAGATGTGAATGAAAAGATGTTTCTAGGGGGCTCTAGAATACGCAAATAACAAATAGGTAGACATGAGAAGTGTTGTACTTACCCATAATACAGATTGTTTCAAAGATTAATATGATGTAGTCCATCCATAAAGGAATTTGACTTTACTAGAAGCCATGCACCATGTGCATCTGCAAAACAAAATTACACAGTGGATCAGATTTGTTGTCTTACTAATGATAAAAATGCCCTCTACTCTGAAATAGCGCTTGTGCTGAAGTAGAACAAGGTTTGAACCATTCCACTGTACCAAAGATGTCAACCTGATCAGTATACTCCAGTATATTGGTTTTTCTGCATCAAGATGGTTCAAGACATCTTAAATTTTGGACTATAAAGATGGAAGAGACCTATGATACCATCCACTTCAGCTCCTGCAAAAGCAGAATTGTCACTTGCCATGCATTTCAGCTGGCAAAGTAACTTTTATCAGGTGGTTTCTTATTAAGCATTTCAATTCTTGCTATCCTTGGAATCTGCCTTGGAATCCAGATTATCTTAGAATCTGCCACTGCAGCACTGATCATTGCACTGTCAGTCCGGGTGGGGAGTCCGTGTTGAGACTCATCTCCTATTTTAATTGAGAAGATACTCATTTCCCCCCAGTTCTTTCATAATAGCACAAGCAGTTTCCTTTCTGTACAGTGGTGTGTTATAGTAATAAAATAAATACCACAAAATCACTGATGAGGTGAAAATTGAACTTTCTGTCTCTGTGCAGCCATGTGGGTAAGAGAGTAATTGGCTTGGATAATAACTTCTGTTCTTACAAACCCAAACCTAAATGAGCATCTCATTGATACATCTGCTTGTAATTACTATCAAAAGAAGAGAATATATTGTGCAGATAAATGAATTAAACCATTTTTAGTGCTTCACAATGGTTTAATAGTTCAAATACGCATCTAATGAATCTTGAACTTTTTTGGCATATTTTGTTTGTCAAAAAATAGAATTCTCACACATTTCTTTTTACATTCACACAACAGAAGTATCAGAGGCCTTGTCTAGAAATATGTTGAGTTGGATCTCACTATGTAAGAGAGCTTTTTGAATTCCCATATTCATGTAGTGGGAGTTAAGCATATTCACCATAAGGATTCCTCCTTATTTAGCATTGGTTGGTAAATAAACCCTGTTGGGTGCAGAGTCTTGTTAACAGTGTTATTGCAATAAAAATATTGGGAGATGCTGATACACCAGACAGAAATCCAGGTTTAAACTAAAGCACATGCATTGAGATGAACCAAAATGTTTTGAACTTAAGAAACTTCTACTCTAGCAAAAATATGTGGCATCACTTCTGGCTATTCTAGAAGAAGTGTGTGCTTTAGATACTTCTCATAACAAGAAGAAACTTCAGAAGTATTTTTCTGACCATTGGGCTTTAAATCAATAATTTTTATTATCAAAATAGTTGAATCCATTCCGTGCAGATAACACAGTACATTAAGAAACTACTATGTGTTCATTCTTATTACTATAAGGATTTTTTATGTCCTCATTTACTTACAAGCAAGTGCTCTATCTACATGGAGCCAATGGGCCATAACCAATCCAAAGAAGCTGTTCTGGTCCATCAGGTCAATGACTCCTGAATTCAAGTCTCTGGCAAACATGGCCAAGGTGGATTGGATTCTTACTGTAATCTGTGGGAAGAATGCAATGTAACATCATCCCAATAGATAGGGGTGTATAAAACATTTGTTATAACCCAGGGAGATGGAATTCACAAATGAGCTATGTTAATCTAGTAAGTCAGACCTGATTGTCCTTTCCCCATAGAATTTAACTCAAAGAGCTGCAAATGTGGACATTTCAGAGCTTTTAATGGAATTACTTGAAACAATTTTGGCAAATCATATATGTGAATAGTAGTTGTGTGCCTTGCTAACCAACAGGCACTTCTTCCTTGTCTGCCCAGCTCTGTGTGGGTAGTAAAGCAACATGAATTTTTGTCATCATTTTGCAAATTTATGAACATGTTGGCCAGTTCCTGCTTTTAGACACTTCTGTCCTAGTGCAGTCCTTTTAAGACTCTGCCTATCATGTACTTCAGCAGCAGGTGGAAATGGAAATGAAGATTATGCTTCACCCAGAGAACACTGATAATAAAGCTGGTTTAAAACAACAGAACAATGAGACCAGGCTGCCACTTATAACTAAGAAAAAATCTGCTCCTGTAAGTAACTTATTTTATTTTATGAGCTTATTATATGGATTAGTTTTCACTATTAAGGTCAATACATATCAGATCTAAATAAATTTATTTTAAAGTGAAAATACCTCATAACTTCCTACTTTTGGAGACTGATATTTAGCACAGCACTGTGGCCCACATGAAAGAATATGCCCAATGGTTTTGCACAAGGATCCTCTTCTACGGTTTAATTTCTGTAAGAGAAGCATTATGCAGCAAGCCCAGTGCTGTAGGAGACATTCTGGAGGGTCTGGTTTTAAAGAACACGAGCAGAACCTGTAAATGGCACAGTTGTAAGCTGCCACTTGTAAAAAATGCTTTTTGAAAGCTGTTGCCCAGACGAAGAGGTGATTTGTCTAACCCTGTGATACAGAGTTAATTAGAAAAAGGCATCATGGCTAATAGCTGTTTAGAACCACTCTAAAACACTCACAGAGAGGAATATTATACTACTGCAGAGAGCCATGTGTTTCACTGCTCACACTGAAACATGCACGGATCAGAAAGAACTTCTTAATGTTGACTTGAATTACAAACCTTTAGTGTGAATTAGTCAAGCTCTCTGATACATATTTACAGCTGCTAAGGAAAAGTTGATGACAGGGAGGTGGGCTGAAAAAACAAGTACATATTTCCTATCTAATTTATCCTACAGGGTTTACAGAAGTAAATGCTTTTTAGGAGTTTTCAACTCCTAGGAACCAGTCTATGTTTTGAAATGTTCTGGGAATAAAATTTTGCAGTAAGACTTGCAAAATCCACTGCTGAGATAGTGAATTAAGACACTTCTGTTACATGTGATCTATACTAGTGCTTAAAGGAATTATAATCATAGATCACCAATAGTACCTAAAATAAATCAATGTGTAGTTGCAGGTCTAAAATAAGATGGTCTTTAGTTTTGAAAAGATATCAATTAAAGTAGCTACAAGCATTAAGCTGGGCGCTTCCTTCCCTGGTTTTACTCAGCAGCCATTAGAGGGCAATATTTGTACGCACACACGCGGGCACTCACACGCATCCACCCGTGTACGTGCCCTACATATGTACGTTAGTTCAAAGAGTCTCTCAAAGAAAAAAATCAGTGGCAGAAGGACTCTCACTGAAGTAAATTAAAATCTAATTGCTTGGTTACCTGCATTCAGGGTGCTTCCAGGAGTTGTCAGCATCTCAGTTTTGGAGGAGACCTCAGCATTTAGAAATGTGATGAAATTAAAACATGCTGGTTGTGAGGTGACTGGATGGGTCAGGCACAAATCTACACGGACTTATTATTATCCTGCTCTTTGAGTAGCTGGAAAAATTATTAGTAAAGATCTTATTGTTTCATGAAAAATGTCTTTTCTTGCTCTTTTGGTATTATAAAGTTGCTGATGCTGGATTTTATGATAGAAACTAAGAACAATTATCTATTGCCCTTTGGTACCTTTTTGGGTCTGATACGCACTAATGCTTTATTCTCTGTAAAGTTCTGTAGCTATCTTAAAGTAAGGACTCCAATTCTGTGTGAAACACTGGGCAGACTGGGCAATGTTTTATTTTGTACCCCATATCTGGGTAACACATGAAAAATGATGAGTAGATAATGATTAAATATGTATTCTTCCCGTGGAGTATCTAACAAAACAAACAGTAATCTGAATTGCAGCAAAAATAATCCTGATGTACTGCTGCAATGTAGAAGAGATGCACAACTACACCTTTCATTTTTCTAGGACTGCTGTTCTCTTACAGAATTACACGGGCACTTTTTGGTCCTTGTTTTCTTACAAATGTATATTATACTGTAAACTTAGGAACCTTTTAATTTATTCATGAGATAGAATTTAATATGGTGATGATTTCTAGCCCTTGAGTTGCATCTTATATACTGTAGCTTTAATGGTGATGGCTGTGATTCTGTGTTGCTGGGGGGGGATTAAGCTAACTTATTTGAGCACCACGATCCTGGTCATATCCTCAGTTATTCATTCTTTATTCAGTATTTGCATCAAGCTAATAACTAATGCTTATCACTGAATGCCTGTTCATTTTCAAAATGATAAAGTAAGGCAAAGCAGCGCAATTCTTTTCCTTTCAAATGACTAGAAGAAGCTGTAGAATAAAAACCAGGTCTTTCGGTCCTGCAAACCTGATTGTGTTTTAAACCTGTGCATGTGGCTATAATTACAGTCCCAGCATAATTTGGCAGTGGTAGCAGAATGAGACTTAAACAAATCGATGTTACACTACAGTAAATCAAAAGAAGCTTGTTGCATGTGTATTATGGTGTGTGATCATAATGAGCAGCACAGAGAATTAATAAAATCTTCTTGTCACTAAAAAATAAGAAGGAAATAATTGGTGAGAGAGATTTAACTTAACAGATGACTCCAGTCAGCATCCTTTCAACCTAGAAATGGGAATGTGAAGGTCACCCCCATCTCAGATGACAAACGTAGAACATTTTGTTGGTAAACAAATTAATCTTTGGAAAGGTCACCATTTGTTTTAAGTTTTTATCCAGTTCTTGTCATCTGGAATTGGAGATTGACTGTCACTGTGCTAGGTAGGGGTGCAGCTGAAGCTGCTGAAGCTGGTTCTCTACGTATCAGCATTCCTTGACAAAACTCGGTGCCTGATTGGGATGCTATGGGCTGCTGGTTTACAGCTGTCTCCGGACAAGAATGGAGGCCCACCCCTGAATTCCAATAAGTTGTTCCTGCATATTCTGCCTCGTGTAAGCTGGCCCTTTGCCCACAAGTAAAATGTATTGTGGTTCAAGCCAGCAATTATCCTTCTTACTTCCTTCTGTGCTGCTTCTGTCGCCTGTTTTGAAAAGCAGATGTGGGATTCACCCAAGTTCTCCATCTATTCTCTCTGCACCTGTTATGGCACAACTTTGATAGAGGTAAATTTCAGGGGGAGCTAGAAGAAGACCATGAAAGGAGCAAACCTTTATTTTTATCATGTACATGGAAGTGGTCAATTTAGAGCCATCCCTGGTTACTTTGAGCTTAAAGTAGGTAAGAATAACATAAGATCTGTTGTTAAAGATGCCTAGTTACTTCGTATTGAAGGTTTCATGTTGGGCTTTCCATTTTAATTGGACTGTATTTCCTGTAGATAAACAAAATCTGAGGGAAATACTATGTATTAATATCTTAGTATTACATCTAAGGGAAATAGTATTAATCATCTTGAATAAAAAGACAACCAGTTGTAAAAACGGTTCCTATTTTAAATCTCATACAGAGACTGTTACAAATTTGACTCATCTGACTTCAGAGTAGTTCCACTGGCACTGGCAAGAATTTGTCCTTTACTTAGCATTCAGTATTTCTGCACTGAATTCCATGTGCTGATTCTTGGACTTGGAGGACTCAAATTTGGTTATTTGAAACCAGAGTTAAACAGTTTCTTTATTTACTGTTTATTGCTATTGGCTTGATTGTCAGAACAAGATTCTTTTCCTCTTTTTCCCAATAGAAGCTGACAGATGATGGAAGAGCGAGTGAAACTATTCTTTGATACTACTTCCTTACTTGGCTGCTCAGGGTGTAAATTAACACACAAAAAATGCATCCATCTAGACTGTACAGCTGTGAAACTATAGAATGCAAAGAAATCCTACAGTAGTTTATATCCAGACAAAACCAAAGCTTACCTGGTCTGTGTCCTACAGAGATCCCTTCTAACCATCATTTCTATTATTTCTATGACTGTGTGATTGAGAGCAAAGAGTGAAATCTCTTGGCGCCTTTGCTTTTACTCCACTGGAGGAAGGTAGATGGCAATTTTGAGAAGATAATAATGAAATGATAGATTACACTTCTGTATCTCTTCTACATTACTATCAAGCTTTTTTTTATTTACTTACCAAATCTCATCTATTTAATCTTCCTGGTTGATAAACTGTAATTTTGATATGGGAGAGTACTCGTCTTTTCTCTGTATTTAATACTTGTCTCCTCATACTGGGGGGGAAAAACATACTGATAAACATACTTAAAAGAAGTTGTTCTAGTTAAATATTGCTGGGTGAAAGGAAAACAAATGGAAAACTAATCGGAAAATCCCTGTGGTCTTACAACAAGTGCCCTGTTGAAAATGAAGCAAAAAGAAGAAAATCAAGTGGGAGAGTTTTATCCACAGGAGAAAAACCCTTTAAAAGGGTAATAGAATTGTTTTTCTCCTGTCCCAGGTTAATTGCACTCAGAAGTGCTTGAAATGGAAAAAATAGTTTTTCCACACACTCCAAGTATGTTTCAAGATGAAGAAGCCTCAGTCTGCACTGCAATGAAGGGCTTCCTCCCAGCACTTTAACTGTGTGTGAAAGTGCCCATGATGAAGCAGGCTGTGTGCTGACTTCAGGCAAGCATTCTTGCTGAATCATAATCTTCATTACAAACTCCCTAAAAGACATTATTAATGCAGGAAAAATGTCTGAGATTCCCATTCCCATCGGCAGTAACAGTTGCTTGGGGTCAGCTGAAGAGGAAGCGGGTGAGGTGCCTACAAGTTAGTGCTGGATGGGGTGTGATCCTTTGCTTCCATGGTGGTTTGAGTCTCACTACAAACATGAAAATGGTAACTAGGATCTGCTACTTCTGGAATATCTAGTATTAAATTCACTGCATTTTGTGTTTATGCATAAAAGCTGTAGGTGTGAGTAAAGGTTTTGAGTTGCACTGACATAAGCAGATGGAAGTCTATTCAAACCCTTTTAAATACCTTTTTAAGTTAAATCACTAATAGTAATAAAACTCTATAATGATGCTAAAAGTAAACCCTTTTCCTTGCAGTTCTTAATATTTTTATTATTAGTAATTGAGTTGGCTTAATTTTAGTGAAAGTACCTGAAAGATGAAAGCATTTTGTCAAGTTTTGCTGTGCTCCCTCACCGAAGGTTTCAGGAGGGCACCTACTGCAGCAAATAGAATGTGAAAAGACCGTGGAAGACGGTGTACAGGTTGGGTGGAGTTTTCTTAGGTAACAGTGAAACTAAAGAGCTGCCCCAAACCAGTGTTTCACTGTACTATGCAGTGAAGTGAATCATAGTGGCACTGTCCTTGCCATTGACTTTACAGAAATTAAAGGATACAGCAAAGAAGAATTAAATATCCATCTCCAGTTAAAACCAAACCCTCTGGGCTGCTGCCGAACTCAGACACCCGCTTTTCTTTGTAGCTTATTACATCTCAATGAGCACAAACGAAATACGTATGTTTCATAGTACTGTTTATCATAACAAAACTCCTGGGATTTAAGCTAGGATAAGAGTGACCAGTAGTAAAACCAGTGCTGCTTTAGTCATAGCAACAGCCTGGAAAAGGAGTCACTGTTTAATTAAATTTATTTCAGTTTATGTATTTCTGTTGTGTCCACAACAAACTGCTGGGGCTGGGAGTGAGTGGAAGAGTGTGGTTTATTACTCTTTTTCCTCAGCATCAAGCCACTTACACGCCAGCTGGTGTAAAGTTAATCTTTGTTCTATGCTTATTGCTATTTTCTTGGAACACAAGGACATGAAGATTCATATGTCTGGATCCCTTAAAGCATAATGCTTCATAATGGCCATAACTAAAATGAGTGCCTATGATTTCTCTGAAAGATTCTCTATTATGATAAAGCAAACCTATTTTCTATCTCCATAATGTTTCTTGTGGACAGTGTTATTATACAAATTGGAAGGAAAAATTAGAATAGTTTATTTTGATCTATCTCATTTCCCTATTAGGGTTATAAGCAGTTCTTTAGAATTGCCTACCCCTTTCTCTGAAGTTGATGGTTGATGTTACTCACTAATTATTACACAGTGCTCAAAGATCCCAGTCCTGGTCTGGATCCTACTGTACTAAAAGCTGCACACAAGCATGATAATCAGTCATTAAATCTTAGTGTTTTAAACAAGCAAGTCCCACTGTGCTCTGTGAAAGAGCATTATTCCCATTTTGCAGCTCTACTGATATTTCCTAGTTTTCTGATTTTATGTATTTATTATTTTAAGGTAGTTTCATTCATAATGAAATAATATTTTAAAAAGCAACTAAAAAAAAATTCCCAGCACAAGGCATTGTGTTTAATTCCCCATAGTCCATCAGCAGGGTTCAAACATTTCTATCCAGCATGAGAATTTCTAACCATTAGAGTAACAGAGTAACTGGTAACAGGTTGTCTCCCACAAAAGCATGGGACGTGGTACTTGGGGTACTGGAAAGAGGGGGGGAAAAATGTGAGATGATAACGCAGAGTGTTTGTTTTTCTAATACTGAAGGATAAGGAGGCAAAATATTCTTTCCCTTGTGCAACAATGTTCTATGTGTGTGTGATAGTAAGTGTAACAGTGAGGCACATGTTATTGCTGTCCCAAAGTGATGTGTGTCACCGCTTGAACTCCTGGCACTTGGAACCAGCAGGTTCTGTTTTTTCAGGCAAGTGCAGGTTAACTGGGGAAGAGAGGGAGCTTTAATCCCACATTAGCACAGCCAGTGTGGCACATGTTTCCACATCACGTTATCAGGCTGTGTCATCCCCTGCTGTCCTTGAGGAACTTTGAAACCATCAGAAGGCTGTGACACTGTTCCCTGATTTGCGAGTAGCTGCATGTATTGTAATTCCACTGGTATTCCTTCCAGAGAAAAGTTATTTACATATTTGAAAGTACCTCCTTTTGGTACCTTGTCTGTGTATGCATTTTATATTGCAGGAGTAGAAAAGCCTGTCTTTCAAATCCTGGGTTTCTCTTTGTTAAAAGAAGATTCTGTCTCTTCCTAGATGCGTAGTCAGAAGATAGTGAAGGGTCATGCAGGTAGCAGCCTTTGGGGTTTGCCTGCCTTTCACTACATGGATTCTCCCTTACCCCTGTTGGAAGAAGATCTAAGGAAAGGTGAGTGGCAGAAGCCCGCTCTGCGTACCGTTACAACCAGAATTATGCTGTGTAAGCCATGTTGTTTGCTGTTTGCAGGAGGTATCTGGTAATCAAATTTTCTGTCACCTCAAAACTTGTAAGAATTGTGATCTCAAACACTGCAAAGGGTAGAGATAAACTTCACATTACTCACTCCATGTGGTAGCTAACTTAGGACACAGTATATGTTATGTGGAGCATCAGTCACCCTCCTTGAGTCAGTTATCCTGTAATTCACAGAGTTCAGTTGCTACTGGAAAGAAGAATTGTGTGTGATGGAGGGTTCTTGTATGACTAAATAATATGATCAGAGTAAACAACCATGATGACTGTCTGGTTATGAATCATTCAATCTCAACCAGCTCTGCACTTGGACTGTTTTAGCAATCAGTCCATCTTCACTGTGGTTTACAAAAGTTAATTCTCGCCCATTCTGCTTACTAAATTGCCATTGTACAAAGCATATCATTCCTTCTTGGAATCAGCACCATTACAGTATCTTTCATGTATTTTATAGGCAAAGCTCACCTTCCTTGAAGGTAAAATACTGAATATTGAAAGATGAATCTTTCAGTAACAGAAAACTGCTTCTTTTCTAGTTCTGATTTGGAACTGCAGTCACTTCAGTCTGCCTTTGTTTAATTCTTTCTTTATTGCTACTAATTCTTTCACAGCTGGAATATATACAAATTGTTCAGTAATGTCATCTTCTTGTAGGTGTTCTGAGCCTAACTGAACAAAGACTTATCCCTCCAGCAGCAAAAATACCTCCTCTTGTATACAAAGCAGCACCTTTCCATGAATTTCACAGGCAGCACAAGAAATTAGCTGTAGGTGAGTACAAAGGATTGATAACAACCATCAATTCCATCTCCAGCTCCACTTTCAGGCCCCTCTTTTATCTCACAAGGAAACAGCTGTCTAATGAGTCAGATTCTTAGGACTACTAAGTGCATAAAGACGTACAGGAGCATCCTGTGTCTTGCAACTGAATGGGAATCAGATTTCTTAATCCCTGTCAGGATTTGGTCCCTGTTCACTTCTGAAATCCTGCTAGGTTCCTACCTGCATGTTTCAAATTCTAAGCACCTGAATCTGAAGATCTGACTGTTAGTGTAAAGTCAGTGATACTGTAAGTCATGACTTACAACAGCTGATCAAGTGTCTGTTTTGGCAGTGGGATTAAATGAATGACTGCTAATAACTGAATGGACTCTGGGCAATATGATTCTGATCTATCTATATGATTCTATCACAGAGTGTACTTAAAACGTGCTACAGCTGCTTGTGGCATGTCTGGAAAGGAATGTAAGCAAAATGAGCTGTGGCTTTATAGCAATCCCATAAATTGTTGCCCTTCTAACAATGAAACCTGCAATAATTTTTGGTACAGGTCAGATTGGTAGTAGGGTGGATGCTGAGAATGCAGACACCATCGCCTTCCCAACCTCAAAGGAAGCAATTTATGGCACATATTCCTCTAGTAAAGGCAACACTGCACCACGTCTATCCAGCAGCTCCAAGCTTTCAGCAGGGAAATCAAAGCAAATGTGGACATATCCAGTTCAACAGCTGGAACAGTTGGAGCCACAGATTCCCTCTCAGACACAGGTATTTGGAGAGTGAGAATGATGAGGCTTTTGTTCATGTTTTTAATACTGACTTCACCAGAGATGGTTTAGGAAGTGACTGAAAATCACTGAATTGGTACAGGAAGGTTTGAACCAAATCCAGTAGGTACTGAAGTAGAACAGGAAATACTTCTTATATTGCCAGTTTCTACTTTCGCAACTCTTCTGCCTACATTTGTCTGTTTTTTCACAGACTCTTAGAAAATAAGTCTCAAAAGGATGTTAGGAGGTTATCCAGACCTCCAGGCAGAATTACCTGTACCTGTAATATTGCAGACAGATGTTTTTCTAACCTGTTCTGAAAACTTTCGGTGATAGCAACTCCACAGTCTCCCTAGGCCATCTGTTCCAGTGCTTAACTAACTGTCTTTACTGTTATAAAAGAGTTTTTTAATGTCTTATCTAAATCTCCCCCACTGCAGTTAAGCAAATGTAGTGTTTCCCTTTATATTTACAGAAAACTATAGGGGAGTTTGACCTTGACTGCTTAATGCCTGCTGATTGTTCTTGATCCCCATGCAAAAGGGACATTTCTTTCTTTTCATGGCTAATTACTGTGT